ATGGATGGATGGATGGATGGATGGATGCATGCATGCATGGATGCATGCATGGATGCATGGATGGATGGTTCACCTTGACTGTAGCGGCTCCTTCATTTATTGCTTCAGTTTTGAAGAATCTTCCACCCTTTTTCAAGAATGTAAAACTGAAACAAAATTGCCATTTCAATATCAAATTGAATTCAAAATGTAACGAGAAGTTTATTGCTAGCGATGGGAGTGTGTATTGTATAATAGTATGGTGGCTCACAGACCCAGTAAGGAAGTTGGATGCTCCTAATAATGGGCTCCTGATCTAGGAATATATTGGCCAACAGACCCAGTATGAGATATGAATGCTCTTAGTAATGAGCTCCTGATCTGAGAATATGCTGGCTCACAGACCTTGTTGGGATCAGTCATGGAGTTTCACAATAGTGCATCGCGTACTGACCTGTTTCTTAACACTGATTCCTGTAAATATTTCTCAGCCTGAAAATCTGTGCTGTTGAAATCTATTATCACAAGATGGAAGTTTTTTTCTTTTGTGTTGACATAAATCTAGAAAGATTCCATGCTGACATTAATGTGTTCCCAATTTGTATAGGTTCTACTGCGATCTTAAACAGGGCAGTGAAGTATTGGCGTAACATTCCCTTCAGTATTTTTTCTTCTCTTAATAGTGACTTTTAATAATAGAGTGTGACAGAAATGGGTGTGGGGATTCGGCGACGCTTTTTGGGCAGCCAACAACTTCATTAACATATAAAAAGAAATCATGGCAATACAGAAAAACGCCTTTAAGTGTTGTACCTTGCACAGTTCATCTATGAAATACTTGACCCAATAGCCATAATTAAGAACTGTAAAAAAGAAATTCTTTAAAAGATTAATCTGAGGAGACGAATGTTTTGGCGGTTTTAGGGGTGTGGTGTGGGGTGAATGACGGATTATTGCGTTAGAATTGAAACACAGATATACCAACTCCGTTCATAAAATAACTGTTATTAATCTTTCGTTCTGATTGGTTGGAAGGGCGTGCTTTATGAGGACAAACAGCACGCGCGCGCACTTTCAGTTGCGTCATTCCTATCTAAAGTAACGGTTATTGTAATTTGTATTTTATAAAAGAAATAAAAAACTTGCTTGCTGTGCTGTGTGGAGTAATGAAGCATTTGGTGATTGGCAGAACACTCGAAAAGTGACGAGAAGCACTCCGCTATGCATCGTGCTTCTCCTAACACTTCTCTCGTGTTCTGCCAACCCCCGAATTATTTTAAAAACTTTTATTAACATCATTTTTAAAATTTCATGTTGAAATAAATATTACTCCCAAAGAAAGCAAAATCAAAAGAAAAAAATAAAGACGACTGACAGGTGTCCGGATCGGATAACTATATCCCTTGTTGCCCTTCACTTCCCAAAAAGGGCATATTTAAAGGGTATAGGTATTTCTTAAATGATTGTCTATGCATTAAATGATTGTCAATGCACTGCAATGCCAACTCAACCTTTCCTTAACCTCGTAATAGCTACTTAGACATAAGATCATACCTGGCAATATAATATAAATCTTGGTGTCTTTGCTCCACACCATTCCCTCGGGGTAGCAAAGTTCACTAGTCGTTTCAATATGGACCTTGTTGTATTCCTTGCTGAACTTGTAGACGTATTCAGAGAGCAGCACTGATTCACCTTAAAAAACGTTTGGAAAATTTCTTTTTGCTTCATTACGTCATAATAAAACTATTACCAGAATCAAGTACGAATTATTTTCTTTGTCTTGTTATAATGGACGTGCATGGTTTCAAACGACAGAAGTGACTTGAACCTGCATGCTTTAGTTTTCCACCGCCTTTTAAGATGCTTTTCGTCTCTGCACAAGATAATAGACCTCAATACAAGGCTACACATACGTGCTAAATTCAGTATTTTCTCTTCTCACGAAACACTGAGCATTATGCACGAAGCCTCATATTGAAGCCTTTGTGCGTGACAAACGAAGCATATCTCAGAAGTGGGCTATTACGAGTAGGCGAACTTCGCATGACTCAATGTATACTTACTTTTTCCTTGAACACTAAGTTCCTGGAAAAAAGTTAAAGAAACAAAGAAAATCATGTTGTAAATCAGAAACAATTGATCGTATATATAGCTATTTTAAAAAAGTTGGTGAAAATGTCTGTTTCATGTTGGTTGCTCCATGTTACATACCAAGCGCGAAATAAATAAGTAACTTTTTTCCCAGTCGGGATACGCACGTGACAAGAAATGGTCATTCTCGTACTTCTCTCTATGTTCTCTGTGTTCTCTGTGTTCTCTATGTTCTCCATGTTGAGTCTCGATGTTCTCGGCTTTGCCTCGGGATACAACGAGACTAGCTCGGGAAAATAAAACCATTTCTCTCGAAACCAAAGTGTATAACATAATATAGGACTTAACGTACAAAACCTCCAATCCAAGAGAATATGAACTAAGAAAAGGAATCCTACCTATATAGCCTTGTAACCATCATGTGCACAGTTTGATGCTATTTTTAGCTTGGAGATATTTTGAGCGAAGAACCTGATTGGTTGATTTCTTGAGGGTGGGCGGCTTCCAGTCTTGCAGTAAACAAAAGCCTGTGTTTTTGTCGTGGACGTAGCGAAAAATGGCGCTTTTCGTGTCCTTTAACAAGGCATTAAAGGGAAACATGATTATCGCGCAGGCATGGTAACGAGTTAAAAATAGCATCAAAGTGTGCACATGATGGGGCACGGGGATTACTTCTCTTAGTTCATTTTCTCTTGTCCAATCCTTTATATACTTGCTTACCAGCTCCAGCAGATAACGACTTCCTTTTACACGGTCAGGTTTTTTCTCCACGTTCAGAATTTGTTTCAACTTGTACAAATCTCTGAAAAGAATAAGCAACAAAAATTTATCCAAAATTCCTGAACAAAAGACGAGAAAAAAAAGAGACAGTGGCAGCGAATATTTTCTATATATTTCCCATCGACCCTCCAGACGATGATCAGAGTAACTATAGCTTGACAGGTATAATTCCATACCCTTTAACTTTCTTTAACTTGTCCATGTATTCTTTGACAACCTCTTCGACTTCCTAAAAGTCAACAGTTCAGACAAACACTCATGAATAAAATAGAGGATATTACATGGGCGCGCGGAGATACGAAATTTATCTTCGAGTGTTGAAAAGATCTCTCACGAGTGCATAGCGCAGCGAACGAGTGAGCGATTTTCAACACGAGAAGATAACTTTCGTATCTCCAAGCGCCCATGTAATATTCAGTTTATTATATATTTATCCATAAAATCAATTTAATAAGCTTTTTATCATTATAAAGAGTTTTTATTCATAAACTAATAGTTTAAATACACATGGTAACGATATTTTCACATGTGAAAATAACATGTTATTTTCACATGTGAAAATATCAGTTTTTCGAAAAGGAGAAATATAGGTATTTCATGGATAATTATATGATAAACACTTTAATATTGCACGGAAGAAGGTATTAACTGTCTTTATCCGAAAATGTCTAATTCATCATAAAAACACAGATACCTACCATTTACAGGGCGGGAATTCCAACGTATTTGGACGTTTAGCATGGGCAGCAACTAACCTTCTTATTGATTATTATGTTTCCGATGTGTAAAAATATCGAAGTTTTATCGTCTGGATAAATATCTGAATGATTGGCCTGCAAAGGGAATGCAACTATATGCGAGTGCCAATGTGGGTAGTCGTTAGTAGTTAACTTAAAATTGGCCAAGAAAAATAGTAGTTAACTGATAAATAACCAAAAATTAGTAATTAAAAGCAAGAGAATATGATTATGAAGAATGTTTTTCTCGTCATAAACAGTAAACTTTTTTCCGCTCGCATTGAAGTCACTACAACTCTGAGCAATCAGGACTCGCATGCTAAAAATAGCTTAGGCTTGCGCGCAGTGCTAAAAATAGATTTTCAAAAAAACTCTCTAATTTATCATGAAAACACGAATACAAACTATTTACAAGGCGGAGAAAAGAGTTCAACGTATTCTTGGCCATTTAGCATGAGCAGCAACTAACCTTCTTATCGATAATTATGTTTCTGACGCTTGAAAATAATGAAGTTTTATCGTCTGGATAAATCTCTGAATGCTTGACCTGCAAAGTGTATGGTATATATGAGGGTGCCAATGGGTGTAGCAGTTAACTTAGAATTGGCAAAAAAAAAGTAGTTAGCTGACAAATAACCTAAATTTAGTAGTTGTCGTCTCAGAATTATGGCGCGCGATTGGCTTATAGCATTTGATTGACGTCGAAAATAGCACTTTTTTGGTATCGACGTCTGTTTTCTGAATGCAAAGGTTCTCTGAAAGAAAAGTTCTTGTTCTCTTTATTACGACTTTTATGACACAAATTATTTCCTGACGATGTGGAACAAAGATAAGGGAAAATAAAAGCTATATATCTCGCACTTTCTGCTACAGGTGAGTGAAAAATATTGTACAAAATATGTTTTCTTTCAAACTTTAATACACTTGGAAGAAATTTTGAGTTATTAATTACAATGTAAAGCTAACGAATTGTTTGAATGACAAATAAAACGTAGAATCAGTTATTCTTCTATTGACGATTTGCGTTTCTAATTAGAATGATAAATTTTAGCCCAGAACATTTTAAAACAATCATACGAGCCTCAGTCTTTTCTCAAATAAGCTTACTTCGGTTTGAATTCGCAAACTCGAAAATGTCAAACTTGCTTTGAGCGAACACTTGACAAGCAAATTTCCGATGCATTAGGATATAAAGAATGAAGTATAAAAAGAAAAAACATATCTGTAAACAGTTCAAGCAACTGCATTATCTTGAACTTCATCTAACTTTATCATAATGAAAAGTGGAATTTTGATGAAAACAAAGTTTTCAAAAACGTGGAGCATCCATTTTCTCAAACTTTCCAGAAACCGTTGCTAGGGTGACGACTGTTTGGGTAGTGAGGATCTGAAGCAAATCAGGATCGTCTCCCTATTTTTGAATTGAAAAACGTCGCTTCGCGGTTCTCCGCCAAATAAGGAATATATTTTCTCCCAACTAGCCGTCAATATTTTGTGGCATTGCCGTCTCAAAATCGCAATTAGTTTATAATATTATAGTCAGCTGACAATTGGTCTAGATATCAGTAGTACTGACAAGCTTGCACCCCTATCCACACCCCCTACATTGTCCATTTTGGTTCCCTGTACGAATAAAAGAATAACTGTTACTGTAGACAAATATTCTTTTACTTTGAAGTTACATAAGTGAAGCTAATGTGTCAATACAAATGCAAAGCTGAACCAAACCCATCAGTGACATCCGTAATCTACAGGGCCGTCGCTAGGGGTGGTCCGAGCTATTTGCTTCTTCATGAAGACGAAAATTAAAAGAGCACAGTAAACTACTTGGTTCATTAATATTACCATAAAATAATTAGCTCCCTCGAATACACCGACGTTATGTTTTGGTATGTAGGTAGGATCGTAGGGACACGTGCTGAGTACGTATGCCACTTGTTCGTGATCGACAATGGGATCTAACGGTAAATAATAAATATAAATAGGTTACGGCGGAGAGGTTATGGGTTGTTTGGTGTATATATATATATATATATATATATATATATATATA